ACCGACATTCTAAGAAATCCTACCTTATGAATGACCCCTATACATTACATTTCATATTTAGTTATTTATTTAAAAGAGGAGCAGAAAAAAGCCTCAATGCCAATTACTTGAACCTCCAGTAGTTATCAGATTTTTCATTATCTTAAGAACACCACACACTCTTTCAAAGACAGCAATTAAACTACTGCTTACCTGATATTAGCAATCGAACACAAATCAATAAAGTTGTGAAAAGGATCCTGGATCATACGCTCCACAACTACTAGCTAAACGCTGCAGTTAATTCTACGTTAATTCAAAGCATATTGTTACGAATGACTGTACCTGGACAACCCATTGGAGAAAGCCAACAAGAAGATAGAACAAAACTACTACAGCAAATCTGCTTAAAATAGTTGATTCCGCAGAGGGAGAGCCTGTTTGAGAAAAGTGAAAATAGAGGTTGTGAAAGTGTGCTAAGCATTTGCATCAATCTACTTACCAATACCGAATCCAGGTTGTATGATACTAAATCGCATGAAATTAAAGGCTTCGAGCAGCATAAGCACCAAAAGTAGTTGTAGTCCTAGGCATGTTGCTCGCACACATCGGAGTTCTGCCCACTCATTGGCAACAAGATAGGTGCGCCTGAATTTCACACTTAAGCTGAATTAAAGGTAGCTCAAACAACTTACCATACAACTACGGGAAGCTCTATGCGATCTTTAGAAACATCTTTGGAGATAGGATGATTAGTTTGACTATCCTAAAAAATGAGGGCTTTGGAACATTCAGAGCTTTTCGAAATCTGCCTTGTTACTTATAATTTTATAATTTTACACATGCGTGTCACTGCCGTACTCGTTTTTAGGACCAATCTGGATTCAACGTATAAAAAGACTAGAAAATAATTGCTACCTCCTTTAATTTTTAAACAAGTTACACGGGAGGTAAAATCACTGTCTTAAATTGTGCCTTGGAATCTAGATTGGCTCGAATTATTACAGTTTCAAGGTATTACCTGCATACTGTACCATATTAAAAGGAAGAATACTGTAGTCACATTTGAGAATTTTATCGCCTTTGCACTAAGTTTGGGAAAGTCAACTTTTACAACAACCAAGAAATGTGTACTCTATGAATTACAAAATAAAGTGTTAGTCAAAATTCGTATGTGTTGACAATTTTTTCTACATACCTTACAATTACACTTAAACTCAATAATTCACTCGCTCTGTTTAATTTTTATGCTTTTGTCAACGCTCACCTCAACAACATGCGGTCTCTCCCAGTCGATGAAGAAAGTTTCTTGCAGAATTAGTTGAAGAATCGTATGCACTAGCGCTACAAATTTGAGACATAGGGTAGCGATGAGATATGCCATGAGGACCCATTCCTAAATTATAGCCGTCGATGATTACTCCA